TATAGTGTTGTTTAATATAGAGTAATCATATTATTTAACGAGTAATGTTAATTAATGCATATAATGGTGTATAATAACCTTCAAAACTTCCTGATGCTCTAGAGCGTGCATTTAGGGAGAGTTGCACACTATTAAAATCACAACGCGCTATTATTATGTGATAAATATGGCTTTTAGCAGTCTAGAAATGATGGATTTGATTGGCTGATAATCACGTGAATGCACTTATGGAAAGAGTTTTTATAAGCGGGCCAGACAATTAGCGTGCATTTACAGTATAAAGAACGTGCATTTGTCTATAGGTCCCACCGTGGGCCCGGGCTTATCATGCATTTAGAGGGGTGCTGCATTTAGGGGTCTTACTGTATTTGTTTGTGTAATCCTTTTTAAAGTCTGCGAATAAGGATTTGTTTTTTTTTTAATATATTGTCATTGAATGCAGAGATGGCAATAACTACTTTTTCTGCATAAATCATGAGGAAGTATTGTACGGTAAAGCTGTATTATGTAATTATAAGGGTAATAACAGATATTACGTAATATTCTGAGGGGGAGGGGTCTCTGATTTTCTTACGTAGAAATAGAAATTTATAATAGCCAATCAAATTTCTCTTACATGGGGGGAGGGGGTAGAGGGTATAGTAAAAAAATATTACGTAATATCTGTTACTACCCTAAGTCAAATAATATAAATAATATGTAATGATTTTCGACCGCCCATTGACAACAATGCTATGTGAACTTGACGAAACAATATAGGAATAAAGATCCAGAAAAACGGTTAGCAGAAGAATTCTGAAATTTTTAAAAAGTGGCGAGAAGATTATCAAATTTTAACGGAATTAAATACCTAAGCAAATTAGTTTATATAATCAAAATCAAATTCGTATTTTATGTCGGAACTGTGATCAATATTTTATGATTGATCCTTACAGTAAGATAATATCTAGTTAGAAAATAAAATACATTTTCTAAATGAAATTTAAATATTACTTAGCCATAATCAAAAGACTATTAAAAAAAACCTCTAAGCAACGATTGAGTTCGAATGTGTCTTGAAAGCGAATTAAGTTTAGATATTTAAACTGGTTATGGCAATTCAATCTATATTCAATATGTTAAATGTATAACAAAAAGAACCCTAGCATTAAGTTATGTAGAAAATAACGTGAATGCCAACCAATCAAATTTCGAGTTTGATTTCGTCCATATGGGTGGATTTATTTCGTGATTATTGCAAATCTTACGCTATTGGTTGATTTACATAATTCACTATTAAAATTTAGGGTATCGTAAACACAACATAACTTTTCTTAAAAAATGTATTACACTTTGAAACTTTATATTTATATTCAATAAGATCTTAGTCTAAATTCTTAGACAACGTAAAAGCACAAAACTATATGCAGTACGCGGCAAAAATCTTAAAAGAATACAAGACGAGTCTCTTTGTTGTGGTATGAAAACTTTCGTATTTATATTCAACAAGACCTCAGTTTTCTGGATTCTAAATTTCTTTTTCGGGATCCTAAAATTCTTGCTAGTGACAATGCTAAGAGGTAGACCATGTAAAATGCAAAAACTTTTGTAGTATGTGTCAAAGAACTTAAAGAAATACAAGCACAGTTTTGGTATTGTGGTATAAAATTTTCATGTTTATATTCATCAAGACTTTAGTTTCAATCATTCTAAAATAGTTTTATTTAATCCATTTTACAGAAATTAGTTGGCAAATACCGTAAAACCCGGACACGTGTACCCGGGTATTTTCATTACTCAATTTTGTACCCGGGTACCTCTATATGGCAGTGTTGGCCGATGACCTATATGATCTTTATGACCAGTCATTTGGTCATAATGAAGGTAAATATGATTTATGAACTTTTTTAATATACAGTAGTAAGAATCATAGTAAACAAATTTTTTATTAGCATTTAATATTACCAATATGACTTATGACCAAAAGTCATATGATTATATGACCAAGGTCATATCAAAAAAATGTTATGACTTAGGTCATTAGCCAACACTGCTATATGGGGTACGCCGTATTGAGACAATATGTCTTACTATTTTTACCTGAGATGATACATATAGTATGTATAATACCTATATACCCGGATATAAGCAGTGTATAAGTCACCAACTGGCTCTTAAAACTGCTAGAGGGTACATGCCATGGGGTATACGTTGTTGGTGGTAAAAGATCCAAAATTCGCTGCGCCGAATTTGACGTCACGAGGCCCGAAAACGTGATGAAGCCCCGATTCGGAGCTCCCACGGAATCGCGAAGAAATCGTGAGGAAAAATTTCCCACAAAGCCCCAAGGCACAAGACCCTATGTTTGGGGCAGTGTCAGAAGCTTAGCCGGAGGAGGCAAGCGATGATGGCATCATGAGATGGGCTGAAGCATAGATTAGAAAAATGTTCGATCTTGTTATTCCCCCCCCCCCGCATGTACAAATTTCATTATAAATATGGGCTTGTTTCGCCCTCTAATAAAGGAGAGGAGTGTTTACTCAATAAAAGTCGCTCTTTGGTCCCACCATATACTCGATACGCCTTAGCCTTGCCAAATTGTAATCGCCTCTACGATTGAGTATATCGTGGTTGGTTGCTTTGGTTGTGTGTTTTGGGTGGTGATTGGCTGGTCCGTGTTGTGACCCGTTGCCACCAACAACGTGTTCAGATTTTACAGTAAGTTAGCGTCGGTGTGATTTAGATCAAACGTGTGATCGATTTATTCGATATTATTTAACTTAATAGGGCTAAAGGTTGTAATGCGTTTCTGGTAAAAATGGTTATGACAGAAAAATAGTTATTCATATATTATTATTTATTTGATTGGTCGGCGATCACGTATTGCATCAAATATCACTGTGATTAATTTGATTGGTTAATGGCATGTTTTGATCAACAAAATCGAATATTGTGATATATCGAATGGAAACAAATCCGCCCATATGGTCGATAGTCATTTTTAAAATAAGATACTTTGAAAGCTTTTGGTGTAAAAGGAAAAAAATATAGATAGTATAAAAATTTGAAATAACAAAAAGTTTTATTTTAATTAAGAAAACTACTTATATTGTAAGATATAAATGTTAGCTTAGAAGTGAAACTGTTTTCACAAAACCCATAGATCGTCAAAATTTATATGTACAGATCCCTTAGTTAAATCATTACCCTGAAAATTTTCTGACATTATACCTGACTATAAATGTTGGCAAAACTATAAATTCTTAAAGTCCCACCCAAATCCCAAATAGAATAAAATTCGTCCCAAATCCAAATCCCAATAGTTTTGCCAGCAAGTATACACTTGACCGATAAGGACAAGACAAAATTTTCTGGTAAAACTCGGAGATTTTCCGAATCAAACCCGGTATATAGAGTAAATTATATAACGAATTTACTCTATACCGAACAAAATCCTCCAGAGCATGCAGTTCAGTATATCCAGAGTCGTCTGTACCTATTCTTTTTCATATAGGTATTATAGCAGGAGGTATTATAATCAGTTGCGGATATTATTGATAGAAATCCTGCCATTATCATTACATAATTGAAATTTTATTTGTATTGGCAATCAGATTTTACCCACGTGAATCCACCGATTTTAATATAAAAGATATTTTAATTATTTTATTATATACGTATTTAAATTTTGAAATTCACCGGTTTTTTATAATTATTATAAAATTTTACTGCAAATTAAGATTAGGTTAGAATTAGGGTTATTTTTATGAGCGTTGATATTTTTATTTAGAATCTAAACGAACCTAAGCATATTGAACTCAATGTTTTGTTTTTACCGAGATGAGATATAGTTCAAATTAGATCCATAAATTGATGGAACAATTTTACTACACACTGGAGATGAAATTTGCTGAATGCATGATTTCTTGAAATGGCTTCAGAAACATATTTACCTATAAAATGGCTACGCAATTTCATGCTATATATCAATACGTACCATAGAAACAATTTTCTTTAATTGCTAGTCGGGTTTGTCTCCTCATTAGTAGTGAGCTTTTTTTCCTCATAAGTATTTGAATTTCTCTCAATGTTTGTTGGTTTATTCTCCGTTCGTATCTCATTAACCTCTAATTGTGGAATCTTATTGGTGACGATCGAAGCAATTTTTTTTTCTGAATAATCACACATGAGATCAAATTGGTCTATAAAAGTTTAATATATTGGAATTAATATATTGAAACTACTGAATTACTTGTCGCGGCTTATGCTGAAATTTGGACCTATTTTTATATGAAATTTTAAATTTTTTTTGGGTCCGCTTTTTTTTTTTAGGTTTAGGTTAGTGTTTAGGGTTAGATTTGATATTTAAAGAGTATAGGTGGATTTTAGAGAACTTATGTTTTTAAATCGAGACCCCAAATTTAACCATCAACATCAACCGCGACATGTTTTTTTGAATACTAACATATCCAATTTTGGTAGTCATACATCGGCTAATAAATTAAATTAATTAATAATGTGTTTAAAAGTAATTGGAAGAAACTCAGCATCTTACATTCATCGTTATTATCACCACTGTCTACGGAATTTGTGTCCACAGCCTTGTCATCTTTGTGTACATAATCTTTGGTAGCTTTTATGGTAATGAGTTTACTCGCAAATTGGTCTTTGTTAAAAGTATATTTCTCATCTGATTTTTTCGAATTGCTTGTAATAAATTGGTTTACAGTGTCTGGTAAAGGACTTTTATTGAATTCATTAAGCCAAAATAATATTTTTTGATACAAATTTTTTGTAGTTGGACGTTTATTAGGATCTGCGTCCCAACACTCTTGCATCAATTTCTCATAATCCGGTGGTGTTCCCTCAAGAACTTCCGGGCGAAGCGGATGAGTTTTTTTAGATATCTCTTCAATCAAGGATTCGTCATAATTGCGATCACAGAAAGGGTAATATCCTGAAGTAAGATACCACATGATAATTCCAATGCTATAGATATCTGATGCTTGAGTATAGTGTTCTCCATATAAAACTTCAGGAGCTACAAATGGAATAACACCATATATTTCTTCAGATTCATTAATATCAAAAGTTGGACGACAAAGGCCTAAGTCGGATATAGATATAGTCCTCCTATAATGGAGTAGATTGCCAGGATGCAAATCACGATGAATCAGTCCTCTAGCATGAATATCAGACAGTCCGAATAATATATGTCGTAAAATGTCCAATTTGTTTATCCAATTCAATTTCTTTTTCAAGTAATTTCTTAAATCGCCTCCATGTGCATAAGGAAAAACCATAACATATTCCTTAGATTCAGGATTTCTTGAAATACCATAACAGCGGAGCACTGTGCTAGAGGATGACTTGATATAGGCGATGACCTAAAATAATTTTAAAATGAATTAGCATACAATAAAATAAAAGTGATTCCTAATTTTCATATCTCCCAGCAGATTAAATTTTTTTTTGAACTCCGAGCGAAGCTATCTCAATAATCACCAGGTCAAATCCAATAAATTTTTTATTTGAATTCTATTGCATCCATAGGATTCAAAAAAAAATTTTTATCGAATTTGACCTGATGATTGCTGAGATATCTTTGTTCAAATGCTTAAAAAAATTTCAAACCGTTTATCAAGAAAACTGCGCCAAAATTTTTTCTTAACTTTGAGCGAGAATATCTCAGCAACCATCAGGTCAAATTTAATAAACTTGTTTTTTTTATTTTATTTGAATTTATGTATCCATAGATTCAAATAAAAAGTGCATCGAACTTGGCCTGGCGGTTACTGAAAATTTCACTCAAGGTTTAGAAAAATTTTGGTGCAGTTTTTGATAGACGGTTTGAATTTTTTTAAAAAATTTGAGCAAGTGTCTCAGCAATTACCAAGACAAAATTGTTGAGCTTTTTTTTGTTTAATTTTATAATATAGAATTCGAGTAGGAAAAGTTCAGCGAATTCAACTTGGTGGTTGTTGAAATATCTTTGCTCAAATTTAATAGCTTGTTTTGATAGACGTTTTGAATTTTTTTTTTTAACTTTGAGTGAAGATATCTCAGTAGCTACCAAGTCAAATTCTATGATTTTTTGAATCCTAAGGATTCATAGAATTCAAATAAAAAAATGTTCATTAAATTTGACCTGGTGGTCACTGAGATATCTTTAAAAAATTTATCCGCAGGAGGTATGAATAAAATTGAGGTACTGTACGTATAAAAAATTTCCTAAAATAAAATGACTCAAGAATATAGATTCTCATATATTACCTCTCCGAGGAAACTTTTACTTATGTTTGCTGATTTATTGAGTTCTTTTAAAGCTACAGGTGTGTTCGGATATTGAGTCCTTTTGCCAAGAGCATAATCCCAGACACCAATTCCTTCAATCCAATCCGCTTTATAAACCTTTGCAAAAGCGCCCTTACCCACAAATTCGATATTAGAAAACTTTTCATAAGGAATCCACTGTATATACACATTGGGATATTTGATAGAAAGCTGTGAATCTCGGATAACTTTATCGAATTCTGAACTATCAGTTTCCCAACTAGAGAACTGCTTCTGAAACTGTTCACGATCACAAAACTTACACCATTTAATAAATACATATTGCCCATTACATAAAGAACAATTTTGTGCTTGTTTACTATATGCTGGAGCCCTACCCATTCGTACTCTATTAACCTGGAGCACTGTTTTTTGGAGAAATTTAACATATTCTCTAACTTTGTCTTTGGATGCTGTGATGTCTTCTTGATATCTGTCAAGATTATTTCTGAATTCATTGAAAATATTTTCTAACTGAATCATTGTATTAGATCTACAAACAAGAACAATAATTGATTATTTTAAATGAATGCTATTTAAGCAACGAACATTAACTTACTTTGAGAAGAAGCCAAAGTTGCAACAAATGAATAGCTTGAAGCACTTATAAAAATAGGAATATAAAAGTCCATTTGATAAATTCAATTTTGTAAGTTGATCCAGAGTTTCTTTAATGATGTCTTTGTTTTTCTGAGTAGACTCTTGAAAAAATTCTTCAAGCTCATCACATTTTTTTTGACAATCTTGCATGTCATCTATACAATCACTCCAGCTAGAAATGAATTCCTGAGCTATGGCGTACTTTTCTTGATAATATTTATAATCTTGATCTTTAGGGGGGACATCTGACGAATATTCCTTGTTTACAGCTTTTTTAGCGTTTTCTAATTGACTTTTTCGTTGCACCCAGACTTTTACTTCATTTTTGAGCTCCAAGATCTCTTTTTTCACTTCTTTCGCTTTTTCATTAAGAGAGTTGAATTCCTTTTGATTTTTGTCGTAATCTTCTAATTTGTCTTTAAACAATCCATCAGAGTTGAACAGTGAATGAAAATCATTAACGTTCTCTTTAATTTCTGTATTATCCATGGCATTACATTTAAACAATTCAACATACGTACGTACGTACAGTACGAACGTAGCTGGAGAAAACCGCTTATTACTCCGCATAAATAATGCGTTCAATGTGGTACAGAAGATAAACCAGTGTGTAACGTAACATACTACAATTTATATAGAATTTGTTAATTTGTTTCAATGAAGAAAGGCTTTGTACAAAACTTTGAACCTGATGACTATAATCTAATAATTTGACCCAGAAAATTACAAGTCGAGCCATGCTTATATTGGCTTAGAAATATAATTCTAATCAGAAATAATTTATTTTACATCAGGCTACCTGATGAATGTTAAGGAAATAGAATAAATTCCCCAATTATCAAACCCGTACTCATGCCAGAGACCCGCGGGTCTAGTTTTAAAATTGGTGAAACGTAACGTGTTAATTGAATTCATTTTTTGGTTTCACTTTTTTGGCTTAGATTATTTGAGATAATTTTAAATTGGTATTTATTTTGTAAGTGGATTCGGAATTTTCGGAATTCTTAGTTAAATTAGAATTTTAAAGTAGAATTTATCATTATAGCACTTTGCAAAAAGATGTGACCCCATGATTTTTGTGATGATGGACGAGGAAAATTTCCGAGATTCTAAATTGTCTATTAATTCATATTTTCGATCAGCTATATTTATATTTACATATTTGAAATTGGTAAGATTCTTAAAATCTTCAGAATCTCCGATTTCCAGATCTGCAGAGATCAATAAACCTATAACAAACCCTATTTTAAGAAATTCCGAATCCATTTAAATCCATTTCTACTTACAACATATCTAGATTTCTAAAAAATTAAAAAAATTTTAATAGATTTAAAAGATACAAAACTTATACTAAGTAAATATGTTTAAAAAACCAGTTGCTAGAATTTTCACATACGTAATGTCTTAGCTATAACAATTTTAATAATATTACAGTATATTAATCTGTAAAAATTATAACACTTTTGAGCGTATTATTAAAAAAAAAGTAATATATCTATTTATTTTTATTTTTTAAAACGCGCCTATGGTATTTTACACCTATGTATATATTATCTTAATTAATCAATGCAAGATATGTAAAAATGCTCTACACCCCTAAAAACCCCTCTAAAATCCTAACCCTAAATACTAACACTAACACTATCATGAAAATTTTTATATTCAAAACTTAGAAAAATCTAAAAAGCATAATAAAACATATGATAGGTGCAAAACCTCCATAGGTGCGTTTTATAATAAATGAAAAAGAAAAAAACTGCAGTTTTATGTTTACACTGTAAACAAGAATTTCTCAATACCTACTAAACCAAATTCGATGAATTTTTTATTTTAATTCTACGAATTGTAGAATTATAATAAAAAATTTTTCACCGAATTGATGGAGAAATTACTGTATCGAGAAAAATTTATTTAAAATTTAACAATTAAAGTTGCAATGCATATATTCAAATTTTTTTAAAAAATATAATCAATTATTTCTCGACAACCACATGGCCAAACACGATGAAAAATCTTTCATTTAATTCTACAAATATTTAGAACTAAATAAAAAATTTTTGTCGAATTTGATCAGGTAGTCGCCGAGAAATCTTCGCTCAAAGTTTTATATCTCTTGTACACTGGCAATCATAAATAATGCAACACGTGATAATTTTTATAATAAAACATAGTAACTATTGAAATTTTCACTATATAATAAAAATTTTTCTAAAAATTTTATTATATAGTGAAAATTTCAATAGTTACTATGTTTTATTATAAAAATTATCACGTGTTGCAGTATTTATGATTGCCAGTGTAAAAGTAAAACTGTACTTTTTTTTTTTTAACTCGAAGTAATTATTTCTCAATAATTACTCAATCAATCCGATAAAAATTTTTTTATAAATCTAATAGAATTAAAATAAAAAAATCTCATCGAATTTGAACCAGTAGTTATCGAGAAATTTTCATTTAAACATTTTCAAGATTTTCAACGCTTTTTAAAACTTTAATTGAAGTTTTCTCGATAACTACCAGGTTAAACTCAATAAAATTTTTTTATTTTAATTTTACATGCTTGTAGAAATAAAAAAAAATTATTAATACTAGGTTAATGCATTGTGTGTCCGGGAGCATACCACATGATGATCATCATATTACACAACTGCATAAATATGGTACCTACACTATGCGGACAGACAGAAATTTTCAAATTTACATTTTTGATGTGACAATATAAGATAACCACGATTTTAATCAAAAACGTAACTATTGATGCATCAAAAACGTAACTTTTATATCACCTTACCTAGACATTACGCTCCGGACAATTAAATAGTTGTCAAGGATCATCACATGTTATTTACACAATGCAGCCAATCAAAATCGAGAATTTGCCGTGACAATTTTGTTGCGGAAGCTAGAAGCTGCGCTAAATTTTTCTTATTAGGCTTTGAGCAAAAGACATCTCAGCAATCACCTGGCAAGAGGAAGCTGCGCCAAATTTTCTTAAAATTTGAGCGAAGATATCTCAACAACCACTAGGCTAAATTCAATGAAAATTTTTTTATTCAAATTCTATGATTCATAACTTATAATTCAAATAAAAAATGTTTTATTGAATTTAGTCAAGATATCTAATTTCGAAAATTATTATTTTTACTTAGTACGAATACCAATCAGCACAGATTTTAGAAATGGGAACCCCCACAGCAAAACAAACCAGTGGGCAAAAAAAATTTTTTTTTAAAAAACTCAATTTCTCGAAGAATTGAAGTATTAGAAATGCAATTTTTATAAAATTACAAAAACAAAATTTTTTGCCCACTGGTCTGTTTTGCTATGGGGGTCCCCAAATGCCCATGAAAATATATATGATCTAAACAGATACAATATAATTCAAAAAAAATTTATTTTAATAAATGATATTTTAACTCGTGCCAGTAACCAGGGTGCAATTTTCTAAGTAAATGTTCTAAGTAAAAATGATCAGTACCTGAAAACCTCACGAGAATTGAAATCGGGACCCTATATCTAATCTACATTATGTTACATAAAAACCTCTATTTTATCTTAAAGTAGCACCTAGCCCTAAATTTTAATAGGAGTGATTATTAGTAACCGCTAGCACAAATTATAATAACTCAATTTAAAAATCAGTAAATTAAGAAGAAAAAAAAAAAAGAAACTGATAGTTCACAAATACATTTATTACCGTAAAAAAATGCAAAGCTCGGCTTTTATTTTCTATAAATATTATATGAGGTCGGTAAAAATTTTTGGGGAAATTTCATTAGAGCTAGAACTGCACTAGATTAGAACGTACCAGCACAACACAACACAAGCTCTAGCTCTAGCTCAAGCCCGAGCCCAAACACATTTAAAAGAGTTGAACAACCAATTTCTTTTTAGATAAAATGGCACATGAGGCTACACTGCAAATAAGCTCACGTATACCAAAGATAAACATCAAACAAAATTATACTGTTATATAGGCATTAAATAACTAGAGATGTTAATTTAAAAATTTTAATTTATTAACGTTTATTTAATAAAAAAAATATGAGTGACGCCAAGAGAAAAGGGATACTTTGATCTATCGGTTTATCATGTCTGTCTAAACGGGCTTTCAATTTTAGTGTAATACATAGAGATGGGCAAAGTAATTTTGTAAGTAATAATGACCTATGACTTATCCCTTACTTAATATTAAGTAATATTAAATAATTATTACATTCAATTATCTATTACGTGTACATATAAACACATGATAAAAGTCGGAGACGGGTGATCAAAATTGAGATTGAACGAAAAGTTGTTACTAATAATAAAATTATTGTAAAATTACTTAATAATACTTATTCAAGGTAATATTAAGTAATATTAAGTAACACAATTTTTATAATATAAAAATTGTGTAATGTATTACTAAAATTGAAAGTCCGTTTAGACAGACATGATAAATCGATATATCAAAGTATCCCTTTTCCCTTGGCGTCACTCATATGCTAATGATACTACTTTAATTCATTACATTTTTCTTTCAACACATTGAGAATGTTTAGATTTAAAATACTGTTTGATATAATCAGTAATATTTTCACATATTGGATGTAAATTTACACTAATATGATCCCCATCTAATTCAATACAATCCAATTTTCCACCATTAATTTCTTGTATTTTAATCCAAGATTTTTCTGGGAATTCAGGATCTAGATCTTTTCTTCTTATCTTTGCTTTGAAATATATGATTGGTATCGGTCTTTCTGATCTTGGTAATTGATATGTTCTCATTGCTTTCATATTAAAATTAAATACATCAACATATCTTTTTAACATCATTGATGTTATCACAGAGCTTTCTGGGAGAATTATTTGATTTTGTTTTATATTTAATGTTGATGCCTTTTCAACAACTATTTGCAACGCTTTCTCATCATCATCCATTCCTATTAATTCATCTAAATTATACGTCTTAGAGTAAATATAATGTAAAGTTTCTGCGACACTTGTCATTGACTTTGGAATATCTTGACCAGTTGGTGTATCTACCATAATTAAATTTACGGATTTTCCTTGTTTAATCAACTTGCATCCCATCTCATATGCTACAATTCCACCAAATGAAGAACCAAAAAGATTATATGGACCACTTGGATCATTTCTTAACAAATCTTTAAGGTAAGTTTCAGTAAGATCTTGTATGGAATGATATTCTATCGTTGTTGAATCTTGAAGTCCGGGATATTCAAATCCATAAACTGTTACATTTCCTAATGAATTAATAATATCTTTATAAAAAACACAGGATCCACCTACTGGATGTATCATATAAATTGGCTTAAAAGTTTTGCACCCGTGATTGAGTTTTGTTATTGATGTTGATTTATTGAAGCTATTATTAATTGTAGGCGAAATATTTGTGCTTAAAATGTTTTTAATATGATTGGTTAAATCAAGAGGTGTTGGAGAATTGAACAGAATTTTTGGTGATAAAAGTCCAATATTAAATTCTTTGTTTAATAAACTGATTAATGATATTGCTAAAAGAGAGTTACCACCACAATCGAAAAAGTTACTATTAATATCGATATTTTTCAAACCAAGAGTATTCTTAAAACAAAGAATTACTCTGCCTTCAATTGTGGACGAATTGTTATATTTTATAAGTGGCTGTTGATCTATTTCATTAGACGCAAAACTATCAGTAATAGTTTCTACTAACGCTAATGGTTTCTGATGATCTTGCTGGACCCAGTAACTACAATTATGATTAAATGAATATCCAGGCAATTGGATAAGTTGAGTTTTTGTCATCAAAGGACAAATATGCTTATAGTAATTATGCCAATTAATTTCTATTCCATTGTTCCAGCAATTTCCAATTATTTCTTCAAAACTAGTTTTGTCAGAATCAAAACTATTTATGATTGCTATATTATTATTATTTAATATTCTTTGAATAAATTTACTTGTAACGGTTCCAATTCCAACATTAACAAATATTGAATTTGTAAATGTTGAATTAATAGTTTTTATTCCAGATTCAAATTGGACAGTTTTTCGTAAATGTTCTCTCCAAAATTTTGTTGTATACACATCTTCAACATTAGCCCATTCTCCAGTAGCATTTGAAATAAAAGGAATAATCGCAAAAGTACTTTGTTGGAATGCTTTATCAAGTAATGAAGAAATTTTTATTTCAAATTCATCTAAAATAGAATCTGTTAGATGCGAATGAAATCCATATGCTCCATTAAGAATTTTGACTTTATAATCTTGGATTTCAAGAATTATAGCTAATTCTTCAATATCTTTAGATCTTCCGGAGAATATACATTGGCTTTGCTCATTAATTGCCGCTAAAGATATTTTCCCTGTCTTTATAAATTTGTCTGCAAGTTTACCTTTTAAATTAGTAGCTAACATTGAACCCTTTTCCATTTTCTGCATAATTTGTGTTCTTTTTAATACAATCCCTAAAGCTATTTCAAGTGAAAATACCCCAGCAAGAGTAGCAGCTACATATTGTCCTAGACTATGCCCAACAATTCCGGAAATTTGTACATTGAAAACAGATCGGAGAATTTCAGCTGATATGTAACTTGAAATAAAAATTAATAAAGGATCGTATGTTATATCATAAATATCCTTTTCCAAATAACTGGTAAGATCTGGTACTGTGGAATCATATTGACGCAAAATATTTGCACATTCCTTAAACCTTTTTTGGTATAACATTGACGATTTGTAAATTTGACGATGGATTGAAATAGAATGGCTACCTTGTCCAGGTACTACGAAAATTATATTTTCTTTAGGAGATGTGACATGTACTGTTGATTTTATTTGTTCAAGTTGGTTTATTGCGTCAGAAATCGATGTGGCAGTTATCATACTATGGAATTCATATTGAGCTCTACCGATTTGAAGAGTTCTTGCAATATTGCATAAATTATACAAATTACATGCTGTTAAGTCATAATCTTCGAGATAATTCTTAAATTCCTTCTTAATATTATTTAAACTGTTGATAGATTTTGCTGAAAAAGGTAGTATAACTCTAATGTTCTTTGTATTCTCAGTCGTTTTATCTTTAAAATCGAAATTCTCCTTTTTGTATTCTGCTAAAATACAATGCCCATTCGTTCCACCAATACCAAATGAGCTCACTCCTGCATACATTGTTTCTGTCTTATTGAATTCTTGTAACTCAGAAGCAATATAAAATGGACCGGGCGAGAAGTTTATTAATGGATTAACTTTTTCAAAATGACCTTTTGCCATAGGTGGTATAACACGGTCCTCTAATGCTTTAACGGTCTTTATTAATCCGGCGAATCCAGCTGCAACATTACAGTGACCAATGTTTGATTTCACAGAAGATATAGCACATTGCTTCTTAGTTGTTGAAGAGAGTTCAGTAAATACTTTTGTAAGAGCTTTAATTTCAATTGGATCACCAAGTTTAGTAGCAGTTCCATGAGCTTCAATAAAATTAATGTCAGCAGGAAGAAGATTAGCAGATTGAATAGCTTTTTTAATCACTTCATATTGCCCATCTACGCTTGGTGCTGTATAACCAATCTTATTATTTCCATCATTATTTAGCTCAATTGATTTGATAATAGCAGAAATTGGATTTTGATCAGAAATTGCACTAGATAATCGTTTTAAAACAATAACTGACACGGAATTTCCAAGAATAGTTCCATCAGAATTATGATCAAATGGACGACATATTCCATTTGCCGAAAAAATAAGACCTGGTTGTGCTACATAACCAGATTGCGGCAATCTAATGGAGGCAGCACCAACTATAGCCACGTCACAATCACCACATCGAATACTGTTCCATGCTGTTTTTAATGCTGCTAAAGAACTTGAACAAGCGGAATTAAGAGAAAATGCCGGTCCTTTAAGATTTAGATGGTATGCAATTCTTGTTGCTGCGCTTCCAGATGAGGTATTAATGTTATTACTATATTCTTTTGCAGGATCATTTTCATCATTACATGAATAATTCTTATATGTACTATTTTCAATTGCAACAAATACCCCAATTCGTCCTTTTTCATACTGTGGATTTATTCCTGCTTCATCTAAAGCTTGTACACTTTTTTCTAATAGTAAACGTTGCTGCGGATCCATTGAAACTGCTTCTTGTTGGCTAATTTTAAAGAACTCAGCATCAAATTTGTCAATATTTGAAAGTACTCCACATTTTGGTACATAATGAGGATCATTACGATTTTTTGTATTCATCTCATCAAGCTCTTTGTTTGTAAATGTGTGAATCCCATGCTGCCCAGTTTTTATCATCTTCCATAATTCATCAACTGAATCAGCTCCAGGGAAACACCCAACCATGCCTATAATTGCTATTTCATTTGATGATATTACTTGATCATTATTAAGCGCAGTTATAGAATTATCCAAATCTAAAGATTGATCTTTAGGCATAAGAAGATTCGCCATAGATTTAATAGTTGGATTTTGGAAAAGGTCAACAAGGTCAACCGATGAAATTTGTTGTTGAATTTTCTTTTGTAATTGTAATAATAAAAGAGAGTGACCACCAAGGTCAAAGAAATTAGTGTTAACATCAGGTTTTTCATCCAAAGCAAGGACATCCTGCCATAGAGCTTGTAGATGCGAAACAAGTGAGACTTTAGAATTTTTATGTTGAGGTCTTGAAACTTCAGATACGATAACTTTCTTGAGTAATTCAGGCATATTGCTCTTAACTTTAGCATGATCTGTCTTTCCATTATGCGTGCAGGGCAAATTTGCAACTGGAATAATATCCGGAACTTGAAATTTTGCCATTGTCTTGTTTAATTTATTTCTAATTGCTTTATGATCTATATCTTTTGGCATAACAAATGCGACCAATGACTCTTTTTCTTCATTAACTTGAACTGATGCACGACAAATCTCTGGACATTTACTCAAAATTATTGCTTCAACTTCAGAAAGCTCGATTCTAAATCCACGAAGCTTCACTTGACGGTCAAACCTTCCTAAATAAACAATTTTACCATCTTCCAGAATACATCCTTGATCACCAGTACGATATAAACGTTTTTG